AAAGAAAAGATAAAAATTTTACCAGAATTAGTGATGCCATTAGATTCATAATATTTAATTATAGAAACAGATGGAAGTATGATAGGATGGGAAGCTATATTAATATGCAAACCCAATAAATATACTGATAAAAGTACAGAAAGAATTTGTAGATACAATAGTGGAAATTATAAAGAAAAAGGAAATTTAAGCAGCATAGATGCAGAATTATTAGCTATAAATTATGCATTTGATAGTTTTGAATTATTTATTATATCTAAAAAAGAAATAACTATAAGAACAGATTGTATAACTATAGTTTCTTTTGTTAATAAAATGAAAATAGATTCAAAAAGAAGTAGTAAAAGAAGATAGTTAAATTTTATAGATAGAATTACGAATATAGGAATTAATATAGAATTTGAGCATATTAAAGGTAGTGATAATAAAGCAGCAGATATACTAAATAGAATAATAATATATAGAAATTATTAAACTTATTTAATATAATTTTGTTATACAGATGACAAGACCAAGACCTTTAAGACTAGGAATTCTACCAGGAAATTCATTTGCATCAAGTTCTTTACCACAGACTCCATTTAATCAGAACAGACCAATGTTACAAGACAGACTAAGGTTTGGAAACCAAGAACTTATAGTATTTCCAAATAGTAATATTTCTTTTAAAATTTTACCTCATATTTCTTTATCTAGAGAAGAAAAATGTATTTTAGATAATTTATGGATTTCATATAACAAGAATCCAAAAGATCAAAAATATTTTCTTGCATGCATGAATGCATTATCAGAACATTTTAGTCAGAACAAGCAAAAATTTTAATTTTATGTTGTTATTAAAGGAAAAAATTCAGGAATTTTCCATTTTTGGATAGAAGTTTTAGAATGTATTAAAAATTTTTTAGATCCTCTTTACAAAGGTTTTACAAATTTTTAAGAAGCATTAGATGCAACAAGACAGCATATAGGAATAAATTTTTATTTATCTCCTTCTTTAAAAAATTACTCTGACCCTCCATTAGACTTCTCTTCAAGTAAAGTCCAGAATATTTTTTGCCAACATTGTGAGTGTGTGCAAAGAAATTATAAAGTTATTAATGAATCCAACCAGGACCTTTCATTAGAAAGAACCAAACTCAAAAAGAAAGTGGCACAACTTGAAAAAGAGATTTTGGATTTAAAAGTCAAATATCCAACATGTACTATGGAGCCCAATAAGTCCATAGCTAGTCCAGCTCAAACGGTAGCTGGTAAAGACTTATCAAATCCGTTGAAGGTTGTGGACTTACCAAAAGCCCAACAGACTCAGGGGACTGTTGATTCCTCTATTAAATTAGATAATCAAACTTAGCAGACTAATAAATCTGCTACAGAAAAGGGTAAAGAGATTTGGGATCTTTTAGGACAGCCCAGCGGAAAATTTGATTACTTAGTTAAATATAGTCCACCAGAACATTTTTCACCAGACAATTTTTCAAATAACCCAGATCTTTCACAAACTCAAGAAATTCAGCCTAGTAAAGGAAAAGAAAAAATGGTTATCCAAGATAGTCAAGATTGTTTATTTTTTCAAGAAGCACAAGACCCTAATCAAGACGCTGTTTCTTTAGAAAAGATTTTGGAAAAAATTGAAGAATTTCAGAAACAATCCAAAAGAGAGGAAGGAACTTCTTCAAAAAGGAAGAAAAATGTTAAGAAGAAGAAAAATGATGAAAGATTAAAAGAACAAATTAAAAAAATAGTAAATCAAGCATTTGAGATAATTCTAAAAAAGAATCATGAAGAAGAAAAAGAATTTGCAGAATGTCCAGATCAAAAGGAAAAAGATGAAGATAATCATTCCAAACTTTCAGAAGAAAATGAAGATCCACAGAACGAAGGATACAATAATTCAGATAGTGGAATGTCATTTTCATCAGTGGCACGTCATAATCTTGATACATGATAAGATTCTCAATAATGCAGAATAAGACAATTTTTGATGGAAGAAAAGAAGAAAAAGTTGAAGACTTTTTTATCACTAGACTGTAGACCTTTTGACTAAGTTTTCATTATTAGGAAAGATGTCGAAACTTTTTGAAAAGAAAGATTCCCATTATAAATTTTAGACACTTGTTAGATTTTTGATTGGCCAGAAATTTCTCGGTGAAGTGAGTGCCTTTCCTATTAAGGGTAGTTTAGACTTTTTGCTCCCAAAAATTTTTCTATTTAAGGAGACAGTTTCATTTGGTTAAGGCAGAAGTTTACGACCTATGTACTCTCTGCTATCTAAAAAACCTTTGAAACCTTTTCTCCAGAAAAATATTCAATCCAAAAACTATTGTATAGTTGAAGTCCTTGTGAATAGGTACTCTTGTTTTCTTAAATTTATTTTAGAACTTTAGGGACTTCCCGAAAGGAAAATCCTTAGTTGTAAATCTTTTAAAGATAAATTTATAAATCCCTGATTTATATTTTACTTCTTTATTTCTATATTCATTTTTTTCTTGAAGTAAATATTTGTTATATTTCTCATTTCATCATATACATATAATAAAAGTATAACTTGATTTCTAGAAGTCATACTGTTTTTATATTAATCTTGAGTGACTCAGATAAGTGAAAACTTTTGGTCGGAGTTAACCTTTTGATGTTTTCTAAAGATGTTGGGGAAAGGGATAAATTAATCTAAGAATTTTATAAGCGAGTGCCACGAGTAACCTTATAAAAAGAAATCAGGTTCAAGTTTATATGTCATAGGTGGTGGAAAAAAAAAGAGGGATTTATATATGATTCGAAGGAAAGATTTATAGAAAACTAAGGAGAGTATTGAGTAGGATTAAAATTATTAAAAAATAAAAGTTATCAACAGCAGCAAACAAACAGTATCAACAAAACAGCCTACCCCCTCATTATATATATATATATATATATATATATATATATCCCATTTACAAGCGGAAGAGAAAACCTAGAAAAAGAAGCAGACATTACACGCATATCGAGGCTACTTGGAAAAAATTGTATGGGGAAAAATCCACAAACATTGGATGATTTCTGTGTTTATTTGAAGAAGAGAGGGCTGCCTTTTTGCTAAGTAAATATATATACTAGCCAACAAAAGACAAAAAAAGTGGGGATTTGAGGAAACATGCATACAGTGGTCAAAAATTGTGAGTAAAGTCTGGGAAAACATTGCTGCTGAATTGGAGTTTCTAGAGAGAGAAGTTGACTGTCGGCTGGGAAGAAAAGTGGAAGAAATTGAATCAAAGTTGGGTTATTCTTTGGAGGTTAAACATTTAGGTATACACAAAAACAAGAAAAGGTGGCCGACAATTGGACTACCTTTTTGGGATTCAAGAATTGTGCCTCGAAGCAATTGATATATATATGTCACAAACACGCAGACGTCAGGAGAAAGTGTGGAAAATTAATCTCGTTCCATCAATTACTCGGTAATGTCTTTCTACTTTTATTTGTCTAATCCCAACATTATGTTAGACTAAATATTTTTATGTATTGGAAGGATGACAAAATTGTTTAATTATTAATTTTTAAATCGAGACCTGTGTTTTTATGTTAATTCTTGTGGTGGGATTCCATTATATGCCTATTTACATTATTTTACTGTTTGCGCACCATTAGAACAATAAGTTGTTTATTCGTAGTATTAGAAAACTCACAATAGGTATAACACTATTATTGGAATACACAGGCAATAAATGTTAGGAATAATATTTGTGGCGTGTGCAATCATATGTGATAATCCTGAATGTCAATGCATGTCTGCCATATAAATTCGGGTTAAGAATAGAATCGTCTCACGGTAATCATAGGTTTATTATATCTTGGGAAAGAATAATAAATAATCATGAAATTATCGATCATCTCAATTGCATGAATTAAGATAATTATTACTGGTTGAGAATTAGAACTAAAAATTGATCAATGGCGTCAGAAATCCAATACGCTCACATATTTGATTTTCTTAAACTAATTTTCATTGATTTCATAAGTTTTAGTTATAAAAATTAATTAATTATTCATCAATCGTCGTTCGGTTACAAATACGAATTTAAATATATCAAATATACTAAACTTAATCTTTATTCCCTATGGGACGATAACTCTCTTATCACGATTATTACTTGTACAACGAATCCGTATGTTTGTTGAATTTTGACGAACATATACCGTCAGGATTAAGAGGGATATGATTGGTAATCAAGATGAGATGGGGTTGTAATAAGGTAGACTGTGACATATTATTTTAATATCACGTTTGATGCTAGTATTAGAAAATCGTTTAACGTAAAACTTAAGATGAATTTTTTAAGCTTATAAAAAGTAAAATTACGTTTAAACAGTTCTTGTCTACAAATACATTTGAATAAAATTTTCTCTTAAATTAAAAAAAAAAAAGTTTCTATTTTAACAAGTAATTATTACGATACAATCAAATAAATAACAATACTTTTCTAACTCAAATTAATAAAAAAAGTTATTTATTATAAAAATTCAATTCATCTAATTTGTTTCTATTAATCATGTCCCGATGAACAATAATCTGATTTAAACTCATCTCTTTGAACTTATTATTTTAGTTCAATTTAGATATGATATCTATTTGATTCAATACGACGTGTAAAACGTGACTCAAATATAATATTTATTTGTGGTGCCTAGTGAGACGTTTCAAGAGTCTATCAATTCAACCACCGTCTTTTGATTCTTCCTTTTAATCTCATTAATTCAGATTTCTGGCAAATTAATAAAGTTAACACAAATATATGTTAAATATCACAAAATTAGTTATCCAATTTTATGATAACATGTGAAAAATATACTTTTGTAATGTAAAACTCTTCCTTTTTATCTACGTTGTCCAGTTTGAGTTATAAGTTATTAATGCAATATGTTTACCCCCTTTTAATACGGAAAATTACTCAAGATTTCAAAATATAAAAGAAATTTATCGATTTATCTCAAGTTTTAAATGTGTGTGATCGATAGTCAAATAATAGAATTAAACAGTACGATTTCATAGAATAATCAACCCAGTGACACATACATCACATATTTAAATAGTCGAAGAGAAAAATATACGAGTCGACTCAACTTCTCTTTGGAAGAGATAGTGATGAAAAGACAGATGATATGGCTGAGAATAAAAATCCAATGAAGAGAAGGCTTGCTGCAGCATTCGCTTTGTTAAGAAAATCTTCTATGTCTGCACCATTTACTGGAAGGTGGTTCAAATCTACAGAGAGTCCAAACCCGGCAGCAGCACCAGTTGCCAATATGTAGGATACAATCTGCACAAATTATAAATCACATTCTTATTCTCCAAAAACATATATAAAACGTAGATTGATCATAAAACAATTTGTATATATGTATCTACCTACCTTGTCCCCATAAAACTCAATTTGAACCAAGCCATCACCTCCAATGCGATTTCCCATGCTCACATGGAAGATTGCGAATGCACTTTGTATAAGTGTATAGGCGATTCCGAGTACTGCAGTCGACAACATGTACCTACATAGGTATAGTGTGGTATCGATTATATTCGAGGGCATGGATGCAATGATTTATTTCACGAACGAGGCTTCTAGTTTAGGTAGAGATTATTCAATCATGCCCAAAAAAGAATAGGAATATAACCTTATGGTTTTTGTAGATAATATTCACGAGTTTCTAGTTTTTAATTTTTCCTACTATTAACTACTTGAACATGTTGAGGACAATCAAAGTTTTATTATTCGCCTTTTTCATAAGAGCAACGCTTTTTCTCTTGCTCACCTCTTTGAGACAAATATTAAGGGCCCGTTTGATATGACTTTTACTTTTACTTTCTGTAGAAGAACTTTTATAGAAAACTACTTAAATTTTCCTTTGAAACTAACTTTATAAGTGCTTCCTATTTCGAAGGTGTTTCTAGAGAAAATCATATCGTACCAATTCCTCTAAAAATATTTCTTATTAAGAGAAACACTTTCATAAAATTAATCAAATGGATCTCAAAAACTCATTTTGACTTCTTAAAAATCATATCAAACCGGTCCTAAGAGATTCACGTGAATCACAATAGTTGTAAGTGCTCAAATTAACGAAATTTCATATTTAAAAATGTGAGGTTTTTTTGAGAAAAATAATACCATCCATATTATTTTTCTTATAATATCATGGATACCATATGGTACTTTTACATCTACCAGCAAGAATAATTAAGTTAACTCAGTGCATATATTCAATAGTAAATCGAAAACAAAAACTAGAAAGGGTTAATTAAGAACTTACCGATAAGCATAAAAATTATTGAATTTTAGTTTGGCTTCATTTACACCGTCACTAGCCTTAACGGTGTTGGTGACGAGAATGATAACCGAAATGATTAAGCAAATAAATGTAAGGATCCTAACAACCAGCGCCGCCAGTGGTGGAACCGCCGTGGATGGTGGTGGTGCCATTGAAGATTAATTATTTCTAATACTCTATCCAATACGTTACCCAAAAGCTGTTGTTTTTATAGAGTGATATGTCGAGAGTTGACTCCCGACAGTGACATTGGCCTGATCATGTTCGACCGAGTCATGAGTATTATTTCAACAATAGTATTTGCAAGTGGCAAGAAACTGTAGTTTCCTAGTAAAACTCGAACATTTAATAGAGTCAATTTTCTTCAGTTGCGGCCGAACATTCTAAAATGGAATTATAAGAAAAAGTGGATTCAAATTCAATAGAAATTAACCCTGCATTTATGCTATCAAACTTGATGTTGAGCAATTTTATATAATATTTTAGGTATGTTTATGACAGTGAATTGGAGACAATATCTGGTAAAATTAGAGAGGTATTCAAAAGCTTAAGTGGGAATGATAAGAAGGAAATAAGGTGTGTACACTGCGTCAAACGACGACAAATTTTTATAGTCTATTGGATGGATGACCAAAGAGATTTTTACGAAAACTGAACCATCTGGTGATTGGTTGACGAAACTTCCTCATATTTCTTTTTGTGGTACCAATTTCATTCTAATATATTTTTTTGCAATGATTTGACATTATTTGTATAGTATCACACTAAAAAATTACAATTTGAGGTAGGAGACATTTTTTTTTCGTAACGTTTAAATACCAAGATAATGATATTGAATTAAAGCTAAAGTGATAGTGCAGGTTCATTAATATTGATAATTAAATTACCCTCTATGAAATTTGATTCAAAGCTCATGTTCTTATCATAGGATTGTTATTGAATTCACGTATGTTTGGTAAAAAGAATAATCTTTCCTTTGAAAATAATCAAAAATTGAAAGTATTCAATCGGAACATGAAAATTGAGTGACTTTGACTTTATTTTTACCTTATACTGTTGAAAATAAATTTTAATCATGTTAAGAATCAAGAATCACAAAATCATAAATTGATCAATCGAATTCATACCTGCGGAAGCTATTGTTGATATGAATAATAGCAGTCAGATCTTTCCCTTCTTACTTCTCACAAAAATGTTGGCCATCAATAGGGCAAACCAATAAAACTATATGGAGAGATGAGGGGACCCTAACCTTTATATAGAAATTTATTTAGTCGTCTCATTATCGACTTAAACCCTAATTAGGGTTTACGTATAATTTTGGCCCACATAATCGAAATTACCACATTATACCAAATAAAGCCCATAAGGTGTAAAACAGTCCAATTTGATCACTTAACATAATTGGCCCAATCATAATGTCATTGTGAGTCATACATCTAACCCGTAATATTTACAATCGAATGTGAAGCCCATATTTGAAATTATTCTAACATTCACTTGGGCAAACATTTGATTGTTAAAACAAAACTTTTAACATCCGAGTTAGACCACATAGGTGGCCACAAATAGTTCTAATGACGACACCTTACGTAACATGATCCGGTTCAACAAGAATATTAATATCGAACATGAAAGTCATTACACCAATTAAGCGATGTAAGACCATTCCACAGCTACAAATATCAACATCCTTATCATCATGGATCCTCATCTTCCAATTAATGTGGTAGTTTGTGGTATGAACTTAACACCAAATGTGATAAAAAATTGTGCTAATTCGTATCGGTCCTCATAATGCTTTAAATCAAAATGAAGCCATGTATCTCTAAAAGTGGCTCATCTTATGTCTTTATCTGTCATATCTCGAGATCACAATAATATTATAATAAAAAAGCAAAAAATCAAATGCATGCTCAAAATAGTTCATGGATTGGGGAAAATATTTTATTATCAGAAAGGGCTATACCCGAAAACATATGAGTTGCCTATATACCCCGCAAAAGGATCAAGCCAAAAATGCAGTTCTTTACATAAATAACTCCCACTAACCATAAACATCAAATGTTTCCACAATACCCGTATTAGCAACATGTGTCTTAAAAACTTTTGGAGCGAATCCCTTAGTCAAAAGGTCTGCAATCATTGCCTCTATATTAATATGCTCTATTTTCGTCTGCCCTTCCTTGACCCTATCTCTAACCACTAAATATTTGATGTCAATATATTTTGACCCACCAGAACTTTTATTATTCTTTGAAAAGAATACTGCTGCACTGTTATCATAGTATATGTTGATTGGTCTTGAGATGGAATTTCTTAACCAAACGACTTGGACTCTAGCCCTATAATATGCCACAAATTCAACTTGCATAGTAGAAGATGCCACTAGAGTCTGTTTAGCACTTTTCCAAGAAATAGCACCACCAGCTAATGTAAGAATATAACCTGAGGTTGATTTCAGATTATCTTGATATCTAGCAAAATTAGAATATGAATATTCTACCACCTCAAGATGATTTGAACGCTGGAATGTAAGCATATAACCCTCAGTTTTTTTCAAGTATTCCATAACTTTCTTAGCTGCTTTCTAGTGCTCTAATCCAGAATTTGACTGAAATCTGCTGATGACACATACTGTGTAGGTTATATCCAGTCTAGTGCAAACTTGAGTATACATCAAACTCCCCATAGTACTAGCATATAGAATCATTTTTACAGATTCCATTTCTAGTCATTTCTTGGATATTGAGTTTTGTTAAACTTATCTCTTTTTATGATGGATACATCACCAGGTGCACATTTCTACATATTGAACATTTCTAGAACACGTCTTATATAAGCTTTCTGAGGAATTCCCAACAAGCCACGATTTCTATCACGATTTATTTCAATGTCAAGCACATAGGAAGCTTCTCTAAGATCTTTCATCTCAAACTTAGCAGACAACATTTTCTTTGTCTCGTGAAGTAAGCCTAAGTTACTACTAGCAAGCAAAATATCACCAACTTACAGGAAAAGAAAGATAAAATTTCTCCTACTGATTTTGAGATAAAATACATTGATCAATTGTATTTTCAACAAAACCAAGAGAAGTTACAACATCGTCAAATTTCAAATACTATTGTCGTGATGCTTGCTTGAGGCCATATACATACCAAGTTTTTATTTCCTTTCACAACAAAACCTTTAGGTTGCCTTATGTAAACCTTTTCTGAAAGATCTCCATTCCCTATACAATCTTCTAACTTGTGGCTCAGAAACTGACCCAATTGTTGTTGGAGGAATTTGGAAGTTCCTCTAGGTTCTCCAGTTCTTCATTAACAACATCAACTCATTGAGAACAAACCTTTTTTTTTTTTTTTTGTATAACAGGAACCAGAATAACAACTTGATTTGGTTCAACAAAAGTTCTCTCAATGTGGAACTTCCACTATCACCAAAATCATTTTTCAAAATTTTATTAGTAACGGATTCAACAATTCTAGTGTCACGATTTAGATAGTATAACTTATATGCTTTTGATCTGTTTGGGTACCCAATAAAGTAATCAGGAGTGGATTTCGGGTCTAACTTCTTTTCAAATGGATTATAAATCCTAACCTCAGCTGGACATCCCCAAATTTTAAAATGAGCCAAACTTGGCTTATGTCTTATCCATAATTCAAAATGTATATTTGCAATAGCTTTACCTTGAATCCTATTTAAAACATACACGACAGTTTTCAAAGCTTGCCCCTGTAGATACTCTGACAAATTTGTTCTACTTATCATACTTCTGACCGTGTCTTTTAGAGTTTGATTACAACTTTCAGAAACACAATTCTGCTCGGGTGTCCCTGGCATAGTGTATTGAGATAATATTCCACACTCTTGTAAAAACTTTACAAATCACCCATATTTTGACCAGACTCGTTATATTTCCCATAGTAGTCACCACCACGGTCGAATCTTACAACTTTGATACTTTTTTCACATTGTTTCTCTACTTCTAATTTGAAAATTTTGAATATCTCAAGTGCATGTAATTTATCGTTAATCAAGTAAACATATTTATATCATGAGAAATCATCAATAAAAGTTATGAAGTATTTGTTCTCACATATAGTGGAAAAGGCAAAGGTCCACTGATATCAGTGTATATTAAGTCCAAAATTTGATTACTCCTAGTTGAACCCTTTCTCATATACTTAGTTAACTTTCCTCTTATATAATCCACACAGGTGTCAAAATCAGAAAAGTCTAAAGAGGGAAGAATCTCAACTTTTACCAATCTTTTCATTCTATTCTTAGAAATGTGACCCAAATGCTTATGCCACAACATAGAGGATGATTCATGAATTAAAACCCTTTTCTTTGATACATTGGTAACACACGAGATATCACCAAAAGGAGTCAAAGACAACTTATATAAACAATCACACAAAAGTCAATTCCTAATCAAACGAGAACCATAAAATAACTCAATGTTTCCATTACCAAAGTTGAAGGTACAACCATAAGTATCAAGTTTCGATATAGAAATTAAATTTCGTCCCATTTTCTGCACAAAAACTGTATTTTCCAAAATAAGGGTAAAATCGAACTCCAAAAACAACTTTACCACTCCCATGAATTCAACCTTCACTTGAACTCTATTTCTAACGCTCAAACTCACTTCATTTTCACTTTGTCTCTTTTTGCTTGTGAACCCTTGCAAGAAATTCACAATATGGATATTAGCTCCTGAGTCTAACCACCAAGAATTCGAAGGCACATCTACAAATGAAGACTTGAAACACACAAATGCCAAGGGAATTTTCAGAGCCTTTAGCTCAGATGATATATTTGTCATCTTCATAACGTGCTCTCTAACACCACTTGTACCATCACATCTTATATTCATCAATTTATCCATCAGATCCCCAGTTTCGACTTTATCAGGCTCAATAAATTTCTCTCATATGACATCCATAAAACCTTTGGCATTTTCATTATTTGGGATGACACTCATAATGGAATCAGATATATAGTGCTTAATAATTTTCAAACAAAGTTTGTTGGCCCTTTCTTACTTTTCATAGTCGGCTACATATTCAACAGTATTTTTCTCTTTGGATTTCTCAAACTTTTTCTTCATTGCAAAGTCCAAGCCTAAAAGACCAAGTGCTATCTCTACATCTCGTTTCCATCTTACATAATTA